CAGTTCAATACAAACATCAAAATCCTAAGGCCCGATGGAGGCAGAGAATACATCTCATACATTGAATTCATAGCTCTACTCATTCAACATTATTCACTAATTCAGTTGTCTCTACACACCCTAACAAAATGGGGTAGTTGAGCAGAAGCATCGCTACCTAATAGAAACAACGAGAACTCTACTCCTCACCTCTCACCTTCTTTATAAATTTTGGACAACAAAACTTCTAAATACTTCCTATCTAAAAAATCGCCAGCCGTGCAAGACTACCATCCTCAAAACTTCTTACAAAATTTTCTATCACATACCTCCCACATATACCCATATTCACATTTTTTATGTCGATGCTACCCTTGGCAAAACCCCAAGCTCCTCATAAACTTACAGCTCTATCCCCACCTTGCATCTTTATTGGATATTACCCCATCACAAAGGATACTACTACTTTAACCCCCTAACATATCAAATCATTACCACACTAAGAACAACAAAACAACATTTCTTACCACACCTCACTAAGAACAACTCCCACTTACAATGACTATACTCCACTAAGCTTACTAACTCCCATCTCTCAGCAGTCGACCCAAACAACCATCAATTCCCCACAAAATTTAATCCCCCTCCCTTTCAATGCCCCCTAACCTCCCACTAAAACCACAACCCCATACCTCCAAATATTCAATGAAAATTTGCTCCCAAATCGGGTCTCTCATACCCAAACAACTTTTAAATCCTTACACATCAACTTTACCCATACTCAACCCCACCACCTATAGTCAAGCAAATAAATATCTTCACTTTGCAAGGCTATGCCCTTCGAATTTGAAGCACTTAAATTTCAAGGCACTTGGATCCTTGTTGGTCCACATCCTCATGCATATATTATTGGTTTCAAATGGACATATCACACCAAATACTCTTCAAATGGCAAACCTATCAAATTCAAGGGACGACTTGTAGCACAAGATTTCAAACAACAACACGACATCCATTATATGGAAACATTTTGTCCCGTCATCAAAATTCCTGCCATTAACATTCTTATCTCAGTCGCAACTCATCGCCACCGACCCATTCATCAACTTGATGTCTCCAACAACTTTCTCTATAGTTCTTTGGATGAAATCATTCACATTCTTTAACTGCAAGGATTCCAAGTTTCCCAATATCCTCACAAGGTATGTCTCCTCAAAAAGGCCCTCTGTGGTCTCAAACAAGCACAAATGAATTGGTACTCGACTCCTATTAATCATCTAACTAATAATGTGTTTCATATCAGCACCGCCAACCCCTCTCTTTTCATCTATAATCATAAACAAACCATAACCTACTTCCTTGTCTATGTGGACGACAATCTCATCATGGGCAATGATCCCTTAGTCATTAGCAACCTCATAGAAAATCTCAAAACAATGTTTCAAATTAAGGAGCTAGGCCCTTTTAAAACCTTCCTCGTCTTTATCACCCAACCAACACCATGATGCTATTAAGCTTTGTGATTTGTCCACCATTTGAACCGGTGCTCGACTGATGTTTGAGCTTTGATTCATCTGTCTTTTGGGTTGACTGGTCTCTGATTAATGGTTGGGCCACAGCCTATTTTTGGAATGTCTTTATTCATAACAAGAGACGACACATGTCTTGCTCTTAAACTGCTTGTTCGGATCAAGAACATTTAGATTGTTGGAGGTGTTAGATATGTAAAAAAACATAGGAATTAAGACGTATGTAAATCCTCCTAACTAAAAATGGAATGCTGTTATTTTGCCCTTTGTCTTAAAGGTGCTTTAAGACTTTCTGCCAACGTTCTTAAATGGAAGGAAAATAAAATAAGGTATTTGTGATTCTCGTGTTTCACATGATACGTTATAAAGAGTAACTCGTCAAATCCGTGTGAAAGCTTCTCTCTATTATTTGCTATTTCTGATAATTCTTTTTTATTTTATTTTATTACATGGATAAATCATATTGGAAAATAGAAAGTATTAAACTAATTTCACATTATTTGGCATAAATATTAATGAAGACTAGGCATATATGAGCAACTAGTACGTAAAACACTCTATTTCTATTTCATTATCTTATTGAAATGTCATGTTACTGCCTAATTGATTACGATATTGCTTTAATATTATCTTACGAATAACTTACTATTGATTTTTCATTATTCCAAATATGCCAATTTGGGTCGGCCAAAAATCGGACGGAAATCGGAGGCAATTCTGACGAATATTTTAGGACTATTGTCAGAATTGTGCCAGATTTACGTCTGATTTTTTTATGTGGATAAATAGAGGGTTAGTAATGTTAATTCCATAAATTTTGCATTGAAATTTGTTTAATATATACGTTCGTCGACCTTTGCGTTTGAACATCGAGCGATAAAGAATATCATTGGATTACAATCGAATTTGCGGCGGATAATATCAATAAATAATGGAATATGATTGTCAATTTAGCTTTGAATTATTTGATGCAAAATAGACACAAATCCGACGCAAACCTGTACCACAAAAAAAAAAATCAGAAGATCAATTATATTTCCACAATCCGCACACTACATATAATGCACATCACATATCACATTATATCCAGTCATATCACAAATCAAAACTATAAAAATATCATTAATGAAAAAGAAACACTGTCACAAATCATCTCAAATAAAAATAGTAGATTTAACAAAAAATTTCACAACGAGTGTTCGCAATATTACTTACAAATAAAAGAAAACATAAAAATAAATTACTCATCATCTCCCTCCTTCTCCTCCTCACCTACAGATACCAATGGTCACTTGCCCCGACGATCTGCTAATGTCTTCATCATGCGCGCTATAGAGTCCTCAACCCTATGCTGGTCTTCTAGCATCTGCCAGCACAACTAGCAGATCTCTTCATTCTTACAACCATCTGCCTAGCAAAAGCCTCTTGATCTGGCTGCAAGGAGCTCAGGGAACTCATTACGGGGTTACGAGAAGCTCATACTTGAAGGCTATGCCCTTCGTTCCAGGGTCATAAACCTTTCCATTCTTCTTCCCCGGTGGTAGACTGACTACCACTATTGTTGGCAAAAGTCTAGGCCTGAGTGGTCGGGCTCCTCTCCTGGAGCTGCTCGAACTCGTGCATGTTTAAAAACAACGCTTAATTGATATTTTCAATAGTTAGAATCGACGTAAACCTTTAATTTAATGATTTTAACTTACAACAACCAGTCGGGAATGTTTTGAGACCCACTGCGCAATCCTCAGTCACTAATGAATGCGGACATGCAGCTCCAGAACAGAGGGAGCACAACTCAACTCCTTGGCCGACATAGAATACAAAATTACTTCAAAGATTGACTTAATTTTTAAATATTTAAAAGAATCTTACCGGTCTCTTGTAGTGCTTCATATGGGGGACCGATCTGCCAATATGGAGCGCAGCTCCCCTGGCTTTTGTTGACCTCATTTTTATGAGGTCTGTCACTTTCTCTCTAGAATATATGATCTACTCTTAGGATTTTCCTAATGTCTCTCTTAAAAAACTAGTCTTGGGACCTACTCTAATTAAAAATTGAATCATTTCTTGACTACTTGTAGTCTCATATGCTTGATTTTTAAATCCTGAATATTTCATTGAGTTGATTGAGACCAACATATTGAAACTTAAGTAGAGTTCCTATAGGTTTGAAAGGCCTCAGGAAAACCTTCTGAGTTTAGGGGATTAGGCCTGATAGTGGTACACTTTCACTCACCTTCCGTTCACTCACTTTCACTCACCTTTTTCACCTTCACTCACTCTCACTTTCACTCACTCTCACTCACTTTTAGATAACTCTTTTCTTAACTTTTAGGGAGCTCATTTTAATTATGAAGCAATTTTTTAGATAACAAAATGTAGTTATCTATTTAATAATTAAAACCATTAAATTTTTATTTTTCTTTTAATAAAAAAAATCATTAAATCAAAATCAACAAAAACGAAAAATCTTTCAAAAAATCTATAAATACAACCTTTACAAATTTCAAAACAATACTTAATAAACCCACAAAAGATAAAACATAAAAATATATAATAATACAAACATTTAAAATTTCACATGCATACACATCCCTTCATTTAATAAATATTCCCAAAATTACACCTAATCCTTTGAAATCATTCTTGGCTATTCTCTTCATACCTATAACCCTTTTAATCAACCCATCATGTTGGAATTAAATCTAAATTCATTTGAATCCCAATTTGAATGAATTTGAACCCATTTTGACACACTGTTTGATGTCATCTTCAAGCCACCATTTCCAAGTAAATTTAATACCTTTTTGAGCCAATCTTTGTGTTGAGCTTATCCATGACATTTCAACATTGATTCACCCCATTTGTGAGCCTAATTTGAATTGATCTATAAGCCAAATCTTAACCCAAAAAGAACTCTACTCGAACACAACATTAAACCTCATTCAAGTCTATTATGAAAACATTTTCATTAAATTGATTTTGGCTCTTCATTTAGCCAACCCTCTTGCGAATTTGTTTGAGCCAAGTTAGCCGCACCAAGTCATACTCTTGTGAGCTCAATCCAAGTCCATGTGAGCCCATACAAGCCAAATCTAGAAGTTTCACCAATTATTAAAATTGATTTATCTAGGTCATGAATAATTGCTAGGAGCTTTGCAAACAAAAATTGAATTAGATTGAAGTTCTTGGTCGTTTTGTAAGATATTGTCACACACTTGTCTACTATGCTTAATATTTTGTAAGAACGAGCAAAAATAGCAGCCAAAGAATGGAAGAATATTTCTATGTAGAACCCTCAAAATGTTTAATATCACATCAAAAATATCACTATCACCTAATCTTAAAAAATTAATTACATATTTTGATGCATAAATTTGTCAAATGAAATTATTACAAATATAAATATAAAAGTTTAGTTGATTTTTGTGTAAATATGGAAGAGTTAAGTGGCATGTATGTAAATTTATCTTGATTTAAAATGAGGCTCGCTTGGTTTTTGGCCCTTGACTTCCGATCCGGTCTGTTCGCTTTCCCCTACGTTTTCTCCTCGTAGGCATCGCTTCTCGTCTCCGTATCGTCGGCGAAACCCTAGCATTGGGCCTTCTTCGTGACCTATGAGATCCACAGAAGAACTAGAAGCGAGGGCCGAGCCTCCGAGCAGGTAAATTCGACTTTTCGGCGGCACATCCAATCGTCAGGAAATGAAGAAGGCGAAATCTGCAAAGGCCAAACTTGAGCACCAGAACGGCCATGCTCTCCCCTTCAAGTTCGCAAAATTGCTCGATCCGGAAGCTTCTTGGGACAAGGTAGGCCTCTTTATTAGACGCCGGATTGATCATCAAGGCGTTTTAGTTTGTTGTAACATTCATTCATCTATCTTTTTTGAATTCTACGCTTATGAACTGGGCGCGATAATGGAATATGATGTCTTTTGGTGCCTTTTTTAGGATCAATTGGGAGATGTTCTGCATTGGATTCGGCAAGTGGCGGGTCTGATGTGTGGATTGATATGGGGCGCAATCCCCCTTGTTGGTGCAATATGGATTTTGGTGTAAGTCGTCCAAAATTTAGCAATTAGTTTTCCGGTAATGTTGTTTCGACTTTCTGTGATTTATTGCACGTATTGGTTGCTATTTTGAGTTTGTTATTCATTTTATGCTGAGCGTGATTTTTTAGCATACCGTAATGCTATACTATGAAAGATTCGAGTGGATCTGAATCTATTTTGGACTAAATTCATCCTCGACAACCTTTCTTGTCGTTGGTCGCTAGCAAGTATTGTTCTTAACAATGGCGAGCTGTGGTCCCTTTCATGCATGACAAACTGAAAATTCCAAGATTTTGGAGGTGACAACTCACTTACTGTAACTTGCCAGTCATGGGTTTGCTACCGAGTGTGGGTGGTGTTGTACCTCATTGAATGTGCTTTACTGCTGGCTTAATTAGCCTGATATTGCATGATATTGTTCTAAATGCTTGATGAGACTTGTGTAAGAGGCATGTTGAGGAAGATTCAGGGATTTAAAGGAATGCTATGATTGAGTATGCTAATTGAGAGTGTTTTAAGGGTTCTCAATATAAACCAAGAGGAACCAAGATAATTCTGCAATGAATCCGTCGAGGAGATTTCTTGAGGAGAATTAATAACCCCTGAGAAGAACTCCCAGGTTGACCTCCTAAGAAGGAACCCCAAATGTTCCTAAAAGGTTTTCTAAGAGGAGCCTCTGGGATATTTCACTTGTGCAAAGTTCCTTCTAATATGATACAATCATCTTAATCTTTGTAATTATTCTATTATTACTACTATGAGCATGTGGACCTTTAAGATTGCATCAAATATTTAGGAAATTATTGGGATTTATATATAAATCACTTTCAAATGATGTCTTGTAACCAGTGTTTTGAAAATCGGTCTGGACATTGAATCGTTAAAGGAAGAGGTTCAAGTTTTAAATGTTGAACCGGGGTTGGCCAGTTCAGCCGGATAACATAATAAATCATAAATTTATTTAAAAATAGCATAAATTATGTAATAATAAGTTAATAACATAAAGGATGCCTTACAAATTTTGTTACAATGAATAATATAACATAGTAAAATCATCTCTCCAATCAATTTTGCCAAATTCAATCAAATCCTTTTTATTTTTAATAGTGGTATATTTTGGAGGTGATATTAAAGATTTAAGTGTTATGTTTAGAAAAGTGAAAGTTTAGGTGTTAGATATTAAAATTAATTTATCTTTGAGTGATTTTAAGCTAATTATTCTTTTAAAATAAAGATAATTATTTAAAAAATAAATTCTCAAATTATTTTAATAAGAGTAAAATTTTTATATATTTTAATATTTTATTGTTATTTCAGTTGTTTGAAATAATTTAATATGTTATATAAATTATTATTGTATGTAACAAAATTTTATATGAAATAATTTATAATTCTTATTAATATGAAAAAATATAAAATGTTAGTCTTGTTTGCGCATTTGCGTTGAGATGCTTTTACTTTGTACTCTTTAGGACTCCTTTCTCCTTAAAATCTTATACACTTATTTTATAATAGTTTAATATGTTATAGCCTTATAGGCTTATAGGCTATAGCTGTTGGCTGCAGCACTTGTATGTAGCAGACAGAAAATTTGATGTCATGCCAAATAACTCAAATTGGAGATGGAACGGTTGGCGCTAGCGACAGAAAAATGGACCAGGAACATGTCCCTATTCTTCGGTTTAATGATCAAACTGGCGTTTCAACTATTTTTTGAGTGGTTTGACATAGGATGTGGGTTTTGGCCGAACTGGAACCTGCCTTGAACCTGGTTCGTGGTTTCGGTCGAACCGGCCAATCTTGTTTAGTTTTTAAAACCTTCTTTATAACTAAATGCCTTCTATATTGTTGGGTATCAAAATGCCCATGGTAAATTCGTTTGATGCGCTCAATCTACAAGAGCATGTATTCACACTATTAGAACTATGATGTACAATCTTCATAAATTATTTTGGTCTTGTTTTCCTTCTAAATTTAAAGAAACTAACAATCATTTTGTTTTACTCACATTTTATATTGTTCAATTAAAAGATTAAACCAATTAGCATGTTAACAAACCCACCCATTTGTTTCTTTATAGGATCCACAATTGAGGTGACTCTTTTTGGGATTTTTTTTTAACTTTTATCATTTCATTCGTGAAAACTACAAGATCTTTGACATTGGTTGAGAATATCTTGTTGTTCGCTTTGGAGCTTTGGAGTTTGCAATTTGTAATAAGGTCTCTTATTGTTGTTGATAATTGAGAATGATTGTTATCAGGTTAAGAGGATACCTATTTCCATTGATAACTCCATGAGCCATATTCCATTTGACCTTCATTAACCAGTTCTATCAACCCCTCTATGAACTCGCTCCATCTTTTTTCTATCTTCTTTTTTCATCGATAATTTATCCATGAGAAATTATTTTCAAGGAATTTTGGTTAAAAATATTTTTAATGTGATTTGATAGCCTTGCGAAACATCAAATGATTGATTGTCTAGAGTGCCCTAGTTATTGAAGTATTTGTCATGATATTATGCCACATTACTTAAAGTTTCTTTCTTTTTAAAAGTGATCATAATGTTTGATACGTCAAATTTCTCAGATAACCAAAGAAACTCCTTACTAATAGTTCCAAAGGTTTTGTTTACTTTAGAAGGTTAAAGATTGTTTTTTTTGCTAAAAACTGTGATTTTTCCCTCATAATCTCATCACTTACAGTCGGTCTCAGTTAGTGGGATAGAGTTTTGTTGTTGTTGTTGTACTCCCATCACATATATATCACTGAAAAGGATAAATCTTTGCTGGTATTAATAGTCAATATGGGTTTAATATGCTATGCCCATTAAGGAAGTATCGAACCACATTGAGCAATTTCATGAAGGAATTTATGCAACTCTATGTAGAATCATTTACCAATATAGAAAATGTTGTTCATTAAAACTTAGTAGATATCAAGAATATAATATTGATTGGTGAAGAAGGTGTTGCGGACCTATAGAAAAAAATGTGAATTATAGACATACAATTATTGACTTGAACATCCTTCCTCAACAAGGAAATCAAAATCAACGGAGATGGTCTAGGTTGAATTGAGTGGTAGAGTACTACAATTCTTGCCAATGACGATTCTCTCGATTGAAAACAAATGCAAGATAGTGAGAAGAGAGTACGATTTTCTAAATATCAAACAAGTTCATAAAACTCTTATCAAAAGTGTAAATTATAATATTCACTTTTATCTATAAAGTTTTAGTACAATAATATATTCATAATTCCTCTCAGGTCAAATCCTCCTCTGGCCAATTTGTCGATAGTGAGGGCGGTCCTCGAATAGTTAGCACATAAGGGTGGTTTGGGGCTCGTATAATAGCCTTCGGTCATTCTTTATCTATCTATGAAAATGCCTCTAAGAAGCACTGATTCAAGTTTCAAAACCCAAAATGGTATGAAACATATTTTGCAGGTCGATATTTGATCGTAACCTTCATGCCTAAAATACTCAAGTCATTACATTATATGCGGTCTTATCATTCATCACAGTGCTCTTACTCCATTAGTTGATCTTCTTTTCATTTTAACTACTATAATTTTAATTTATGAATGTTGGAAATGAAAAGAGACAAAAAGCTGGTAAAACAAATGTGTTTGCTTAGCGAAATCATTTTCACGATGAACCTCAAAGTTTGCTCTACATGAACTCTTTTTCTCTCTAGTTTTAAGACAATCTCACACTCCATTCACTGGGCATTGCTAAATATTTGTCTGGAGGAGGAAGATAGTTATGATAAATAGACGGGGTGTGGGAGCATTGAGGAATATCATGTAGTTGGCGTTATCATATTTATGTTTTTATCATGCGATGTGCTGTAAGGAAGTCTAGAGATTATTCTTGTCACATCTCTCTTTAGACTTGGACAAAATTATCTATCTTCATTCATGGCAATAGTTTTATCACTACATGACAGGCAAAACCCCTAACAAATAATTCTAAATTTTAAAATATATGCAAAGATCAATCAGGGATACATAAACTTGAATAATTATTGTTAATTATGTAGTATTTATTAAGCAAAGACTTTCATTATTAAGTTTTATAAACTTCATTGAAATCATTACAAGTAGCATATTTTTTATATGATTAAATTTAGTAACCTTAACTAAAACCAACTCAATTTCCAAATCAGAAGGACCAATCAAGTTAGGAAAAACTAGTTACACCTTTTCTCCTTGCCTCCATCTTGGACACGCCTGAACTATAAATTATTTGAAGCATGCTTCCAACTAGGGGTGTAAATGAACCGAACAAGAACGAACAGAGCTCATGTTCGTGTTCGTGTTCGGTTCGTTTGAAATTACGTGTGTTTGAAATAGGCTCATGTTTGAAATTATTCATGAAGTTATTGTTCGTGTTCGGTTTGATTTGTTTGAAATACGTTTGAAATGTTCGAATTTTTTGAATTGGTTAAATTGTTCAAAATCTTACAAATTTATTTGTATTGTTCGAATTGTTTGAAATCTTTCAAAAGCTTAAACTTATATGAAATTAATGTTTAGACCTGTATGAATCACAATACAAATGCAAAACAGTCGAAACACAACTCACAATAAAACTATAATATCATATCTCATTCATAAAAAAATTTAGATCTAGAACAATATGCGAGATTTCACTCCAAAAAATAAGGTTTCACTCAAAGAAACTAAATAAATCTAAAAGAAATATAAGAAAATTTAAGTTAAGAGACGAACCTGGAGATCAGATTATAACTTATAGGATTTAATTTTTTAACATGTGATAAATTTTTAGAGTACATAATTATTTTTAAAATATGGTAAATTTTTTATATATAATTATTTTAAATTATTTTATATTTCGAACAATAACGATTCAAACGCGATCATACAAATAACTGTTCGTTTTTGTTTCGTTTATAAATCGAATGAAAAAAATTGTTTGTGTTCGTCTCGTTTGCTTATCGAACGAATTGAACACGAACTCCCTAATGAGCCGAACA